GGAACACGTGACGTTGAGGGTTGATGACAGGTAAAGATGACGTTGCAGAATTTCATCCCTGTAACGAATTGCAGTCAGGTTACCACGGACGTGCACCAAGTCACTTCTCCCGTTGTAAGAAATTGCCCCCCATACCATCACACTTCCCCCTCCAAATCTGTCCGCTTCAACTACACAATTACGGGCGTAACGTTCGTTTCTCCGTCTATAGACCCTCGTCCTACCATCGTGTCTTTGAAGTTGGAAACGAGATTAGTCGCTGAACCAAATTCGCTGCCAATGTCTCCAATTCCATCTCTGGACGTTCCTGCACCATCGAACACGTGCCAGGCGATGATGAGGTCGTAGTGTGCATCCTACGTGAGGTCGTCGAGGGCGTATCCCGTGCTGTCTGAGGCGATTTCTGATGGTCTGGGCGGAGACGCGGCGAAGACCTGGGACGTTCTCTGCTGTTTGTGTTGCTGGGACGGCCCGGTTACGTAAATGGAACACCCGGATGTAGCTATATATGGTTATAGTATAGTATAAAAATTTTAAATTTCATTATCACAGTTAATATTTTATTACAAAATGCATAAAATGCGTGGTTTTTACATATAATATAATAACTGAAATGTTAGGTACATAAATGAGATGACAGCCCCAAAAGTACCATATCAATCAATAGATGTCCGTATAAAAGATACAACCGGATACAAAGACAATCGTTTGACATTATTAACTATGATGCTCCGATATATACTGAATAATGCATTACTTTACTCCGAATTTAGCTTCCGCTGACACAGCAAAAACACTACATACATTTCTATGTGTAAGTATCAATATTGAGACATGTATGGACGGATGGACAGACAGACAGCTTGACAGTATCCTACTTTAACGGAATACTACAGCTGTTCAAATTTACAATCCTTAACTTTTCACGTGATCGATCATTCTGAGTCATAAATATTTAGTTATCGTATTCACTGTCACTGGAAATGTTTGCTGAAAAATCGCTTTTCAGACGAAGATACACTTCGGTATGTTGATGGCTTTCATCGATCTCGTGTTACGATTGTTCATTTCTTACTTATCTGGAAAGCTTGTCAGTTTCAGAAAGTTATCGTGTCCAATTACTATGGAATCCTGGAAGGGACATTGTCGCGTTGTCACATAGTCCCGTTGTCGAGCTTATAAAAACCAAAACAAGAAGCATAAAGTGTCTAAAATAACCAAAGTGCGACAATGTGACAACGCGACATTTTGGCCATTTGTCGCATTGTCGCTATGACACTGTTTGCGTGTTTTAGTACGGGCGACAACGCGACAATGTCCCTTCTAGGATTCCATACATTACTGATATATAGAACATAGACCAGCCTGTATGGGCTGAAGATGGATACATTCCCCAGTGCCATGTCCTGGTTGATGAATTGAAATGAAATTAAATACGTTCATGAAAACTTCATGATAATGGTACATGAATAGTTCTGTTGATCGGCAAAATAAATAGTTCATTCAAAACGACGGTCTATCAGCTGACATTCAAACCATCGCAGCTTTACAAGCGATGCGCCACAGGATAAGTCCCTACCCATCCAATAGAACTCCGAACCATGTAAAGAAACCCATAGTCATTTCTGTAATCATATACAATCACAAAGAATCTGCTGCAGTATGTATAAACCAGCGCTCATCTTCGAATCGAAAAACAAGGCACGTTAAAAGCATTTCACATGCCGCCGACCCGTGATGAGGCATCGCTCTTGATGTTAGGAGCTCATGTAGGCTTTTTTGCCTGTATGTAATATACATGATAGTAGATGCCATGTTTGAAGTTTGTCTTTAATATCTTGTTGTGGTGATCAAAACAGGCTTACATTATTTGAATGTTAATCCCCGGATACATTTATCCAAATAATAGCATATCGGTTGAGTGCTTGTCGATTGTCATTACGAAGCTTGTGTATGAGCTAATAGTTAAGCAGGGAGTTCCGTACGTCAGGTGGTACGTCGAGATGATACACTGGTAGAGAGTGCTTGAAATAATTCGTGTACATTACACGATCCTTAACTTGGTTTGCCGGTTGTTGGGGCTTAAATTGAAAGATTAATGTAATATATTTATTTTTGCAGTTGTGTAAATATCCCCCGACGGTACACTGACAGGGACGCGACTAGTTGTGTCCGACTCCGTGAGCACGGTGCCGGAATAGACGTTATATAATTAGTGGTGATATCCTGCTGGCCTACGTCTAATGGTTCAGCAGTACTTTCTGTTGATCATGATTTTTACCCCTCACTGCATCGAGAACCAGGAAACAGCAGACACCACGTGCAACATACACGCCACGCCACACCAAGCCACGCCACGCCTCAGCACACCCATACATCCCAACCCACGCCACGCCACGCCTCAGCACCACACATCCCACCCCACTCACGCCTCAGCACCACACACCCATGGCATACACCCCACACCACGCCGCTTCTCAGCACCACTCACCCCACACACACCCATACCCCCGCGCGCGCCACATACACCCTACACCACCCCACGCCACGCCACTCCTCAGCACCACACACCCATACACCCCACGCCACGTCACGCCTCATACACCCTTCACCACCCCACGCCACGCCACGCCACGCCTCAGCACCATACACCCTACACCTCCCCACGCCACGCCTCATACACCCTACACCACCCTACGCCACGCCACGCCTCAGCACCACACACCCATACACCCTACACCACCCCACGCCACGCCACGCCTCAGCACCACACCCATACACTACACCACCCCACGCCTCAGCACCACACACCCATACACACCACACTACATCACACACCGAACACGCCAGGCAGGAAGTACAAATGTAATCCAGCTGTCACGGAGCTATACCTTTAATTGTCACGCCTATACCACTGTCACCTAGCTATTCTATTGTCACGGAGTTATATCTCTGTCACGGACCTATTACACTGTCACAGAGTTGTATCACTGTCACGGGGCTATACCACTATCACGGGGCTATACCACTGTCACGGGGCTATACCACTATCACGGGGCTATACCGCTGTCACGGAACTATACCACTGTCACGGAGCTGTACCACTGTCACGGAGCTGTACCACTGTCACGGAGCTATACCACTGTCACGGAGCTATACCACTGTCACGGAGCTATACCACTGTCACGGGCTATACCACTGTCACGGAGCTATACCATTGTCACGGAGCTGTACCACTGTCACGGAGCTATACCACTGTCACGGGGCTGTACCACTGTCACGGAGCTGTACCACTGTCACGGAGCTATACCACTGTCACGGAGCTATACCACTGTCACGGGCCTATACCACTGTCACGGAGTTATACCACTGTCACGGAGCTATACCACTGTCACGGAGCTGCACCACTGTCACGGAGCTATACCACTGTCACGGAGCTATACCACTGTCACGGAGCTATACCACTGTCACGGAGCTATACCACTGTCACGGGGCTATACCACTGTCACGGAGCTGTACCATTGTCACGGAGCTGTACCACTGTCACGGAGCTATACCACTGTCACGGGGCTGTACCACTGTCACGGAGCTGTATCACTGTCACGGAGCTATACCACTGTCACGGAACTATACCACTGCCACGGGCCTATACCACTGTCACGGAGCTGTACCACTGTCACGGAGCTGCACCACTGTCACGGAACTATACCACTGTCACGGAGCTATACCACTGTCACGGAAGTATACCACTGTCACGGAGCTGTATCACTGTCACGGAGCTATACCACTGTCACGGAGTTATACCACTGTCACGGAGCTGTATCACTGTCACGGAGCTATATCACTGTCACGGAATTATACCACTGTCACAGAGCTGCACCACTGGGACGGAGTTATATCGCTTATCGAGGTTTCTATCCACACAAAATCACCCCTGTATAAAACACGGCATCCCTCTACGTCTCATACCCTCACTCACACATCACCACGTGCAATAAAACTGTTACATCCTAAAGTCCAGCACACGTGGCGTCATCACCATCGGTATCGCTGTCGATGTAAGGAGCTAGTCTGTGGTATGGTAACGAAAGTATGGAACATAAATGATGTATATGTGATGTTTGAAGTATGTATCCAACATGCCACAGTGGCCAATCGAGGCTACATTATGGAAGCATTAATTCCTAAATACCCGCGGAATAATAGACGCCACTTTGGGGTTGGAGCCTGGGGCAGACAACTGATATTCTCAAACCATTCATTTTGTGATTAATTACCCGCCAATTTATACCCGAGAGTGCCCCGAATCCAGTAGTCTAATACGCCACGTGCAAGACTCCAGGTGTAAACATAGAAATAAGGTAAATGTTATCTCGACGATATCTGATCTATCTATATTAACATATTTATTGTTTGTCTATCTATCGCTAAACGTTTACCATCGATAAGAATAATGTGGAATAATTGATAGGGTTAACAGGAACAACTGGTAGACTCCATTACTTGCTGTCTGTGTCACTAGAGTGTGGACAGTGTAGTGGCAGTAGGGGATGGACCAACAGCGATGTAGGTTCCTCCTTTCCATACTGATTAAGCCCGTTTCTGTCCTCGCACACTAACGGGGTATTGTTCGTGTCTTCTATAGTAACACGCTGTGGCACTTAGCATCTTAACACCTACCAATCTCGTTTCCACTCCAACACATTAACGCATCCTTAAGTCAACCGCAAATAGTCTAAGAGAATGTCTGTGATAAACATACCTCTATGTGTTCTAAAGAGGTGAAATACAGGAATTGCGTGTTATTGGTCATAACGTCTTAATGTTACAATTAGTTTTGATCTCGTTCTTCCTGTCACTGTTTTAACTGTTCATTTAATGTCATTAAAAGTTTAGTGGTCAGGCCCAACCTCTGGCCAGATGGTTTGCCTATGTTTGTCCAGACGGACTTGACTGAGACAACTTAACACTGTAGTAGATATGTAAAATAAACCACGTACCTGGAAACTGCATCATCACGACAAACACACCTAGCCCGGCAATACACATTCCAGAAAACTCCATAACTCGAAGCAACACGAAGCACAGAAAGTTTCCAAATCACTGATTGTGGGTACTCCTAATCAGGTCCTCGCGACTCCGGTACTCCCTGCCTATCCTCGTTGCCTCCGCGGAGACCAAAGATTTATCTCCAGAGCAGGATCGTCAAGGAGCTTCCTTTAATTGCCTCAGTTCTTCCAAATTCGCCACCAGTATCAATGAAGCCCTTTAAAAATTAACATCTCGTGGCTAGCGGCTGTTAAGATGACATTACGATAGGTGATGGTCAAAGAATTGGATAAGATACCTAGCTTTCGTAGCTAATCTGGCCCTTGAATATTCAAGTCTTGCGAACTCGTTGACTTTATTTACGAAAGCTAATTAGACACATGTCAGAGTTGCCTTCAGAGCTTTAATAACGTTCTTTCACATTAAGATAATTAAGATCATCCTCATGGGAAATATCACAGAAAGGAGGACATGATATCATCCGTATCAAATATGTTGCTCAAGTATCCAAAACAAAATGCTCCAAGTAAAGTTCCGGGAGACTGAACTTCTGGCAATCCCTTCAGAAACACAGCTGTCTTGGGAGAAACAAAGGTGCTTAAATGTGTCAATTAAGACCGAGGTGTCACTCATTCACTACCGCTGGCGTCCGATCCCTCCTACCGACGATGCTAGTAGTTTGTCCCTATACTGCCGGTACCCCGAGACTCACGAGGCGAGCGCGAGCTAGAGAGCACTGGATGATCGCTCTATTGCTGGTTGGCTGAATGGGTCTGTGGCTGATGGCGGGCGGACGGGCGCTTCCCTCGGCTGCCGTGAGGGGACTGAATGTAAGACAGCTCACAGAGACTGACGTATCGACCGTATTACATACAGTTAGCAATCATTTGTAAAACAAATATCAGCAAAGACAAATACCTGCAACATCGCTACATAACTAAGTGATACAAGAGTCGTAATTATTGATGAAGAAATGGACCCGGCGGGATGGTGGTGGTACTGGCAGACGTTGTTTATGATTTGTATTGAATATCAGCTGATCGGGAGGCGGGAGGGAGAGAGCGGGGGCAGAGTGCGGATGTCGTTGGTCGAGGTTACAGGGTGTGATGTAGTTGATTCAACACGTGTGGATCTTCTGTTATGTTTGTGTAAACAAGCAATCAGATCGTGATACACTGTCAAGGTGTACTCTAGCACACTTCGTACTCTAGTCTTAGGACACGACAAAGTAAATACTCGTTTCAAATCAGAGTGAGTGAGTTATATTTTACGTCGCTTTGATCAGTATTTCAGTTGAATCACGGCTTGTCAACTGGATGTGAGTGAGTGAGCGAGTATGGTTTTACGCCGCTTTTAGCAATATTCCAGCAATATCACGGCGGGGGACACCAGAAATGGGCTTCACAAATTGTACCCATGTGGGGAATCGAACCCGGGTCTTCGGCGTGACAAGTCAACGCTTTAACCACTAGGCTACCCCACCGCCCCAGCTGGATGTGGGAAAGGTCCAATTAAAGTAGGACTAAAATAAAATGGGTAGATATAAAGGTCATTAGCATCTTATGGACTATTTCTTACATTATCTCTGCAGTTCTGACTGAAGTTTGATAAGTGTTTCAGCGATAACTCTCAGGATGTGTTTTTTAATATCATGCATCTCACAAAAATCGATCAGTTACTGAAATCCAAGCCTTTTTGACGCGATTTAGTACCTTCACCACCGATTGATTTTTATCATCCATTTTCATTTTTAAATTATTAAGCATTCTTTTCATGGGAAATGAACATTTTGCACAGTAGATTCGTGTGTTAGTGAGTTACTCAGTGAATTGAGTAATACGCTGTTAATATTGATATTAGTCCAGCGTTATGACGTCGACGGGAGAGGGAGTATTACCACGTTCTCACATTTGAATGAGAGAGGAAGGTTTGTGGTTCGATTCTGGCTATAGCATACCGAACTACAGTAGTGGATGGTACTTGTTTTCACCCTGCCTGGCGCTAGTGGATAGAGGATATTATATGGTGTCCATGTCATATTATGTTTACGACACGAGTGCCTAAATGATGGTATTTCCCGAGCCAGAGCCATATGCCACTGAAAGATATTAAACTTAGATTAAAATAAGATTCGTTACAACCGAAAGTCTGTTTGCATCACTTACAGAAAAGCCTCTTAAGAGGAGACAGAACCACTACGTACGAAGTCTTCTTAAGAGGAGTGAAAACCGTTAGGTACGAAGTCTTCTTAAAAGGAGCGAAAACCGCTACGTACGAAGTCCTCTTAAGAGGAGACAAAACCGTTACGTACGAAGTCCTCTTAAAAGGAGACAAAACAGCTACGTACGAAGTCCTCTTTAGAGGAGTCAAAACCGTTACGTACGAAGACCTCTTAAGAGGAGACAAAACCGCTTCAGTATGAACACACACTTCAGACACCGATCCGTCTTAGTTCTCCCCATTCTTTCCGACCGCCAGCCATACGGTTCCCTCTGTTTACGTTTTGAGGGTTGAATGCGGATCGAGCCCGCGACCTTTCCCTCTCAGTTCGGACGTTCCCTCCACCAGACCATGGAGGCGGTCTCACATTTTGAAACTAATAGCCCCAAAAAGTGACCGAAAATATCGTTATAAACATAATAATCGGCAATCATCCCTGGCGGTTGGTTGTTACGATGGCTTCCTGTTATTCCCAAAATCCAGTCTCCCTTAGGTTTCAAAACTCATGAATTTCTGTCACAAAGAATGTGGATATGTCATAAAAACTGATAATGATTTCTTTGTATTTTATTTCCAGATCTCCTCAGGAACCCAAGCGCCAGGAAAAGCTCAGTCTTTGTGCGAATGGTAATGACAGCAAATACTCATTGCATCACCAGTAGCATTTCACTTCCGCTATTGTAGACGATTGTAAAAAATAAATTCTCGGAGAGCGTTGAACACTGAAATGGTGAAATTTAAATGGATGTGTGTCACCATATTGGGTTTTAATCCAGTTAAATGCATCAAAATTGAAAGTTTAGTTTTTTGCTGAACATTTCAGATTGCCTTAAAAAAATTATTGTCTCAAGACGCAGAACCACAGACAAAACAAAGCCGGGCAGTGTTACGCCAGCCTTGTATAACAGCGTAGGTGTTAAGTGAATTACGAGTAGATCACTCGTCAACATCCGGGTTACAATTAGTCTTCAGCAACCGTTTCTTGTCATAAGGGGCGACTAACGGGATTAGGTGGTCAGGCTCGCTGACTTGATTGACACATCTCATCGTATCCCAATTGTGAAGATCGATCCTCATGCTGTTGATCACTGGATTGCCTGGACTTGATTATTTACAGACCGTCGCCTTATAGTTGGAATATTGCTGAGTGCGGCGTTAAACAACAAACAGACAAACGAGTAGATCATCAGTGGTCAAATGATTCAGAGAGAATAGGCTTTATTTTGGACACCAAGCTCGAGGTTATGTAATTGCAATATCCAATCAGCAACGGAAGTTTGTACATATCTTCAATAACGCATTGTATTTCTTTACACGACACATGTCGAAGAAAATAACTTTGTTATCACTTTTATGACCTCAGAACAAACTAGAAATACTGACACGTTGTTATACCAAGGTGACACGTCCATTAATCATGCTTGTAAAAATCACCCCTGGCGTGGGCAGCTGCTTTCCTGGAATCACTGTCTCGTGTTCATAATCATCTAAACATGATGCAAGGCATTGGTGATTCTTATCCAGATCGATTTTACAGTTGTTCCAATGGTCTTTGTGAAAGTTCCGTCACTGAGTCGGACTTGGTTTGTTTGATGCCTCACTCGGCAATATTCAAGCGATATGTAGTAAGTAGATGATCCCTAACGGGATAGGGTTGTCAGGCCCGCTGACTTGGTTGACACATGTCATAGTATCCCAAATGCGTAGAACGATGCTCATGCTCTTGATCACTGGATTGTCTGGTCCAGACTCGATTATTTACAGACCGCCGCCATGTTGCTGGAATATTGGTGAGTGCGGCGTTAAACAACAAACAAACAAAACAGAATCTATAGATAATCGAGATTGGACCAATCATTCCAGTGATTGACATCACGATCACCGACCTAAGCAATTCGGATGCGATGACATGCATCAATCAAGTCTACGAGCTTCACCAACCCATCCCGGTGGTCTCCCCTTACGACAAGCATTGGTACTTAAGATCAAGGGTTACACCCGGGTCTTTATTGGTCGCATGTATGATTTTTACACTTGAAAAGAACACAAGAAACAGAATGTCACAATGGCTCATGTCATTTTTAAATTGGACGTTCCTCTTTTGTCTATGGATACGTAACAATTTACTTGTACAGCAAATCTGTGAATCCATTGATGTAACCAACACTGTAATTGACATCAGTACTATCAACAACTGAACAATGTGTGACGACCAGTGCGTGCAAATTGCATCGATATCGTCACCATAAGTTCCTGCTTTTTGGGGTGTTTTCTTCTATATATAAAAGGTTAAACACGTCCTTCCCCAGGACCAGAACGTCCTGAAACCACCTCACATTTCTTCAACTAATTACAAAAACATCTATAACATTAACATTTATTGCACTCTCAGTTCGTATCAATTGAAAAACTGCTCCCAATGTAAACGTTGTTTTTATTTGGTGAAGCGTAATTGTATACTAGTATTTTATGCTGTGATCTGCAGGGTATCGGCACGGCGGTAACTGGATTATGCAACTCCTCGTTCATCAAATAACATGGAAAAACTCCGGCTGTTGACACTCGCCCTATAGTGTGACTTCGCCCAGTGTTTCCCAGGCTAACTTGATTCTCTCTGGCTTATAAGAACGACGTGGTATTAAGGCAACTTAAACTTAATTTCATCATCAATTCTAAAAGTATGTGTTTTACTGAATCGTTTATAACATTCAATTGTTTATTTTTATTTGGTCTTCTTTCACAAATGACTGCAAAACAGAAGATGATAGTGTGGGAAGACGTAAACCACGCGGTTAATTAGTTGTATTGTTTAATGTCAGTTGTGTAATTTATTTTCTATGACAAACGAGGTTAGTTAATCGTTTAACAAAGTGTGGATCTGTGCATGAGAAAGAAATATAAAGTGTGTGAACGAGCAATGTGGGCACTTGGCGTAAAGTCTCAGGGAAGGGTTAAGGAAATGTTGTCAAGCCGTGTTCATATTTATTCAATTATTAAAACCCACGAAGATCCAGGTGACAATTGGTCTTCAGCAACGGATCTGGTTGTCAGGCTCGCTGATTCGGTTGATGCATGTCATCGCACCTCAGTCGTGTAGATCAATATTCATGGTATCAATCACTGGAGTGTCTGGTCGAGACTCGATTCTTTAAAGACGGTCGTCATACAACTGGAACTTTGCTGAGTGCGACGGTAAATAACAAACAAACAAACAGAGAATCAGATACAAACGAGTGTTCTAGAACAAAATATGGAGTTAGAAACAATATGATTAACTGAAAACGTTCATTAATTCTCATGCTTGTAATTGGTAGTGAGTGAGTTTAGTTTTACGCCGCACTCGGCAATATTCCAGCTATATGGCGGCCGTCTGTACATAATCGAGTCTGGACCTGACAATCCAGAGATCAACAACATGAACATCGATCTACGCAATTGGGAACTGATGACATGTGTCAACCAAGTCAACGAGTCTGACCACCCGATCCCGGTAGTCGCCTCTTACGACAAGCATGGGTTACTGAAGATCAATATTCTAACCCTGATCTCCACGGGTTTGTTAACGGTACATTGAACTATTGATGG